CTTACCATGGAATTGCTGATTGCTGTTTCAATTATCCTATTTTAATTTCTTTATAAATGCTCTGCTATTTGACTTCCTATTTATTTACTGCTTAGGTTAAATTTCTGCTGTACCAAATCCTGGTTTAGTCCAAAACAAGAAGTCTGTAAAAATAAAACGTACTGCAAATTATTGTTATTTACAGAAGGCTTTTACATCTTTATAGTTGTAACTACAGAATTCCTGCAAATACCCTCCAGCAAAGTGCTTTTATGCATATATTTTGTGAACCTTGCATGCCCTTTGGTTGGTCTGTGTTTCAAAAATGGATTCTCAGTGTTGTTCCAAGCAGACTCCTGTCCTCTCTGCTGGGAAGAGCACTCAGTGCAGTTACAAATAGCAGAAGTCATCTCTGAAGTATAAGCAAAGAAGCAGGAGGGTATTTAGCTTAATGAAACTATGGTTGAGCAATTGCTCTAATCACTTGAAAAAAAAATAAGACTGAAAAATATGTTTTCCTCAAATTCAGCAAGAATTCTCCAGGGCTTTGCTTTGAAAGTTAGCAAAAAATACAACCATAAATGGATAAAATTATTAGTATCTTTTTTCCAAGAAAAATAAATAGGAGTGAAAAAGATGAAAAAGAAATAAGATGCAGACTTTCTAAGCTTGAGATGACCAGTTAAAACTAATCCAAATTTAATAGTGGCCAAAAGGCATAATGAATAAAACTGTTGACATAATAACAATGGATGTAACTGAGAATGAATTACCCTCTCAGCTGAACTAAACACACCAGCCTCAAATGGAGAGCAGCCCTGTGTTCAGGTTGGCTAAACACTGTTATTGTGGTTATGTTTATATCTATTAACTCATGCATGTACACCCCATGATTTCACACTATATTTTTAGTATTTTTATACTAACATGCATTCACGGTACTGCCTGTGAATATAAACAGAATTTAAACCAGTTTAAACCTAGTTTAGGTGCTATTTGGTTTTTATTTTAGCCTTCTTTCAGGTCATGTATTCTTGTGCAGGAACACCTAGTGAATAAAATATGAATGATCATAATTGCACTTCTAGTGATACCTAGAGACATGAAATTAATTTGTATCCTTACCCCATATAATATTATTTCATTTTCCAGTAGCATTACCTGTATTTTACAGACTTGGAGAAATTAGGTACAGAAGGAGCAAGGTATTACTTTTCATCAAGTGTGTAAGAACCTAATTACTGTTAAAGTCAGTGGGAGGCTGCCTAAAATCCCTTGCAAATCTGTTCCTGAGTAAATTGTCCTGGCTCACACAGGGAGTTGTGTCACCTCTCGACTGGCAGAATGCCAGAGCACTGTCCTTTGCCAGGTTCATTTACTTTTCAAAGAACTTGTTGAAAACATATTTCAGTCTAAAGTGTATCTGTCAACGTGTTCATATATGTCATGGCTATTATGGGAATTTCAGGTTTTGACAACTAAATCATCACCATCATATATTTTAGAATTCTTTAATGAATGAAATGAAGTTGGATATGAACAGGACATAAAGAAATAGACTCAACATGCAGAAAGCAAACATATGTTTGGTATTTGGGGAAGAAATGGTTTGCTCTTCTCAGATGACAGAATCAGCTTCCTGACTTGTCCCCCCTCAGGAAGCCTGATTGGAGTCAGGTAACCTGTACTGTCATCTCAGTACTTTGCCCACATCTTTTCAGTGTTTTGAGAAGAGCTCCTGAGCCAGGCAGTGTTTCAAGAACATCAGAGAAAGGCTGGAATAAACCCATACCCGTGCAAGCAGTTGCTTAAGGGCTCTCTTTATTCTAAAGCTGTGGAGCAGCAGCACTGCTGGGCACTGGGGCATTCCAGACTGGCAGCTGCACTGCTCTTGCTCTCAGGTGATGTTCTGCCCCAGAGCACACCGATATTGAAAGGAAACTTGGACAAAGAACAAGAAGTTGTCCCGTTCTTCTGGATTGTCCAGCTTTCCTCTTCCCACATCCTTTCCACATCCTCTCCTGAAGTGCCTGATGATTGAACGAGCTGAACTTGTGCTCTTCTAAAGCATGCTTCTGAAAATAGACTCCAAAACCACCCAGTAATATTGTCTCTGTGTTCTTATTCAGTGACAAACCTCCTACATGATAGTAGCAATGCAAATGATGGGTTGTCTTCATTGCTGGGATAAATCCCATCATTACTGATGGACAGATTTGATGGTGTACCAAATTATATTATAGCTAACATTATGCAGCTGCTATTGTTCATACTTGTGAGCTGTTTCCACAATTGAGGATTCTTAGTGTGACAAGGCTGTTGCACAGCTGTCCAAAATATTTCTGGAAGGGAAAAAACGGAACTTCTGGGAAAAAAACACTTTAGAAGTTAGGAATTGTAGTGTCATTACGTTTGGAAGGCTTCAAAGCCATGCACAGGCAGTTTCTTCAGCAGAATGCTGTGGGGGACAATACCAAAGGCTTTACTGAGGTCCAGGTAGGCTCCATCCAGAAGTGTCAGCCTCTGAGCTTGTCCTGTGTGTGTTGTAAATGCTTCTGTTCATGATCCAAGTCATCTTCATTTCAGTGCTGCACTAAAACCCATGAATCCTGGCAAGGTATTTTGGCTGAAACCTGGATATCTGAGCTGTGAAATTTAGTTTCAAATCTAAGATCAGGTACAAAGGCCCCATGTGAAATTATCTAAATGGCTTAATTTCTCAGTGCTGTCATCTTAATTGTCAGAGAGACATGCTTTCCTTCCTTCTGCTTTTTTCCTTGCCTAGGTCAGAAGTTTTGGAAGCAGAGTTTGATTGTTATGGTCTAAATGCAGATACATGAGAAGGCACAAAACCACTGTTGTCTTGCTCCTGACCTTACAATCACTGTAGTTGACAAGAAATCCAAAGTGTCAGACTGTGATTGTAAAATGCCTGTGAGGATCCTCTTGTTTCATAACTGAATGGGCCTCCAGGAGCTATTCATTGGTAATTGCATTGTGACTGCCTTAAATGTCCAGGCTAAGAAATTGAGCATTTGTCTCCTTCCCTGGGGCTTGCAACCTCTCATCCTCAGTCCCAAACTGTCACAGTAAAGATTTGTCTGCAAAAACCTGCTTTTAAGGGAGATGGGAAATGGCATGAAGGCTGGGACAGGAGCAGCAACCATGTGTGTTGGTGGCCACAAGTGCAGGGGAGCAATAGATTACAAGGGAATTGGGACTGTTATAGTCTGGGACAATTATTTATGTCAAAGGAGAGACAGGAATTCCTATGCTGTGCCAGTATTACTCTTGTAAGCTTTTGCATAAACAGAAATGTACAGAATCTACAGTATCACTGGAATTTCTAAATGCAAAAGTGACTATGTTCGTTCCCATAATCAACACTCATAAAAAAATGTTTTCTCCTGAACTTTGACAAGATTTGTCCCTAGAGAGGATTCAAGAAAACAAGCACAGGAACATTAATACCATGCTTCATAAAGTCTGAACCAAGCAAGATGCATGTCTTGAAAAATATGATCAAACAAGAAAAGCATGAAACCCATGATGTTTTACACAAGCAGCTCTCAGCACTACATTCTTTTAGTAGAATGTTTAAAGCAAAATTGAGGATTTTGTAATGGGGATTTCTCTAGGGTTTGCAGGTAATGATAAAAGCAGGAGAAATATGAATCCATTAAAGCATGTGACAAATGGCCAGAGTCTCTATTCCATTTGTTATTCCTAAAGGGATAAGTACACTTGTCCCATCTGTCCTGCCTCTCTCCTGAGAAGGGTTTAGGATATGTATGAAAATAAAAGCCTAAAAGAAGCATGTCAGGCTGGCTGGCATTTGTTTGAACTCTGAAATGAGAGGCTGCCTCTGCCATAGGGTGGGAGCCTTTGAGAGCAATTGAGCACCAAAGCGACAGCCTTAATTTTTAATTCTTTGCCTTTGTATGTTTAAGACAGGCTCCAATCAGATGTCTGTGTTGATGAAACACTAAGTGCAGCGTCTAATGAGGTGCTGAATATAATTGCTGTGTGTGCTGCATAATTTAAATACCAACTGTACTTGCATTTCTCATTTACCAAGCCAGTGAATGATATAATAATATTGAAAACAACAACAGCTCAGTGCTTACACAGTGTAGTCATGGGGGTGCACTTAATGAGTTTGTTTGTGATTCTTATGAAGAGATCCTGTCTGCTAAAATCACAGTTGCTAAAGGTTATGGTTACCTGTAAGATGAGTCTTTTCCTTCCAAGTCTAGATAACATGTCCTGAATAAGGAAGTATCTGATACTAAGTGTGTATTCTGGGACTGGAGATCTGCCAATTCCTAGGAGATAAGGAGGGAATTTTGGACTTGGACTACATTAGGTGCCACAGGGAGGAAAATTTTGTTAGCATGCCTTTTAACCTTAATGCAGCCACTGTACTATTTGATACAGTGGGAAATTTTTTGTCCTTGAGGTGCAGTGAGAAACCTGCACTTACTCTAGTTATATTTGCAGCCAAGATATCAAATGAATGCATAAATATGAATAAACATTTTTTTTTATTTGAAAATTGACTACTGGAGGCCAGTTTTGCATTTCTGAAGAGTTATCATTCCTTTGAGTTCTTCTCTAGGGACTATTCTTAAGACAAATATTTTTGTGTGTGTTTTTCAGAACACACAGTGATGTGTTGCAGACTTGAATGTCTTAAGCATTACCCAGTGAAGTAGTGGTAACTTGGACATCTTGAGGCAGATCTTACTCATTTGAACATGAACTGTTTTTTAGAGGTTTTAACTCCTTTTGTCAGTTTTGTCAGTTTGGTTTTGCTGAATTTCAGATACAGTAGGAGGTTACCTTGTTATGCTCTACTGCCTTAGACTGCAGAGTGCAGACAGCGCTCACTCTTGTACCAAGAACAAGCTTTGCAGTGCTCAGCAGTGCTGCTCGGGGCTTGCAGGATCAGGACCGGCTTATTTGGGAAGCTGTCATATAAAATCCTGAAGAGCATTTTTGTTGCCTCCCTGTCCTCGCAGTGGCCAGTTCGCTATAGTGAAGAAGTGTCGGGAGAAAAGCACAGGGGTGGAATACGCTGCCAAGTTCATCAAGAAGCGGCAGAGCCGGGCCAGCCGGCGCGGGGTGAGCCGGGACGAGATCGAGCGCGAGGTCGCCATCCTGCAGCAGATCCTGCACGCCAACATCGTGCAGCTGCACGACATCTACGAGAACAAGACTGACGTGGTCCTCATCCTGGAGCTGTGAGTAAGGGGCTGCCTGGGGTGAACAGGAACCAGGGAGCGCTGCAGAGGCTGCTGGAGCACAGGGACGCTGATAAATGGAGCTGCTGTTTTGTTCTCAGGCTTCACAGATCTTGGCAGGAGCACTGAGGGAGGTTGGTGTTCCCCCAGCTCATCCTGGGGATACAGGTGCACCTGAACATCAGCTGAGGTCATTGGATACTGAGCCAGGCAATCTTGAAAACAGTTTACTGAGGGAGGGATTACCTCATGTCTGCCTAGGGCTGCCCTGACATGAACCCTGGAGGAAGTACAAGTGGCCACTCAATGCTCGTTTCATTTTTCTTCCTGCTTTCATCTCTTTCAATATGTGTGAGGGCCATCAAGCCTTGTCCAAAATTCGCAGCCATTCTCACTACTGCCATATTGTCCTCCTTTAGATCAGCTAGAGGAGGAAAGGGGAGGAGGGCAAGGGAAGAGGGTTTTTTAATCCCTAGGCATTGACTGTTGAGCATGAATAGCAGCAGGATGGGAATGAAGAAAAGCTGTTTACTTTTGTGCCACCATATGAGGGGGACAAACCACTGCCATTTAGGTCCTGCTGACAAGTGGACCTCCTCACCTCTCCATGCAAAATGATGCAATTTTTCAGTGTGTATGGAGCAGGAAATACAGTCACTGTGGTTGGAGTTAGGTAGACCATACATTCCCTAGAACACCAGCCTGGACCTTGTGTATGGAATCCAGGCAACAAGGCTTTTATCCCTGAGGGAGCTCTCTAGGGGAGCCAGCATTTAGGCCAGGGAGCATTCCTGGAGATTAGTGTGACTGCTAGAAGATGGCATATGAGTCATGATGGGCATCTGTTAACTGTGAAGTGTATGTTTATGGCCAAATGTTGGTCTCTGAAGCCAAGCTCTGGAAGACGAGGAAGGAGCTTGCTCTTTCTCACTGATGACTACTTTGAGCTAAAGCAACCTCCCGTTTCATTACCTTCTGTTTTTTCCTGTCCTCATGTGGCCTGACACATTTTGTATGTCCTTTTGGCAGGCTGTAACATATTGCAGTTTGTAAAAGTCTGCATGCAACAGAATTTTGACCTGATTAAGGTCTCTGCATTCAGCTGCTGTATACAAATTGAGGATGATGATAATTGCTAATAAAGATAATTAAATTCTCTCTTTAAATAGATAATCTCTTCCCTCTGACACCCTGCTCTCAGAGTCTCACATTCCCTGCTGTTTATTATAGCAAGTGTTACAGCACCTGGCCAACCAATCTTATGGTAATGAACTTCAGCTTCAAAAGAATGGCCCCAGTATTGCTGGATAGTTGAAGAAGCTGCCCTGCTGTTTAAAAGAGGATTTGTCTGAAATGTTGAACCTCTCCCATACTCACAGTGCTGGCAAAACCATCTCCTCTTTCCAGAGGGGTCAGTTCTGCTGGTGCTGATTCTGCTGTTCCAGAGCAGTGCCAGGTGCATTGCTGTGCAGTGCAGTTTGGCAAGTACAGCTTCTCTTTCCTTCTGCACATTGTCCAGGGACTTATTCCCTGTTCTTCCCTGTGTCCTGGGCCCTGCCTGCAGCCTGCTTTGCCCAGCAGAGGCTGCCTGGAGGCAGGTTGGATTGATAGGCCAGAGTTTACTCTGCAGGTAAGTGTCAGGGTTGTGCACACTAAACAGCTCTGACCAAGATGTAAGGCAGCATTGTCGTTTGTATTTTATTGGACTTCAAAGGAGAAGTAAAGGGATCATTTGTTTGCTTCCTTCCCATGGTATTAAGTGACATGATAAAAGGGAAGGAGTTGGAATCAGAGGAAGGAGTTCTGTAACAGCTGAGAAACAAGCATTTGCAGGTGATGATTTAGAAAACAAACCTCCCTAGTTGTTCAAATGTAACTTGATGCAGTTATGAGTGTTTTACTGCAGAGGAATTAGTGCTTCAAATGTGTTTTTTTACTGTGATTCCATAATGGCTGGCTTTTGGGATTGCTAAATCTCTTTTGCTTGAGGGTTTCTCTGAAGTCAGATGTAGAATTTGGATAAGAATGATCTTGCAATAAACTGCTTACCACTCTCTAGGTACTGTTTACTGAAGCCTGGTTTTAAAGCCTGAGTCTTTGTTAATGAGAAATTATCCCATCTCTTCTACTGAATTTTAGATTACTCTTTTAGAATCTCTACAGCTTAGACTAATGCATTAGGCCATACCTCAAGAGACTGGAGATTAATATTGTGCTTTTTATGTATGCCCATCTCTGATCTTCAGAAAATTAAATACTCATGTGGTTATTGTAGAAGGAAGTCTTTTGTTGATAAAGTAACAAAGAGACTTCGAGCTCTCTGAATCTTTTTTTATTTCCTTTATCTTTATGTTGTATTTTATGTCATATTCTGTAGCTTGGAAAGCCCCCTCCCTAACCTCATTCAAGGTTAGTGTGAACTAAAGAGAAGTGGGAAAACACATCAAGGAGCTGTCAAGTAAATATCCTGTGATCCTTGTTGTTGCAGGCTGCAGTTTCTTCACTCATGACTGGGGCACAGCTGTTTGCCCAGGATGTTGGTGAGGTTGCCACTGGGGTAAACTCTCTGGTGTGCCCTGAGCAGCTGGCCCAGGTGGTTTAAGTGCCCAGTGTTGGAGGCAGCAAGAGAGAATGAGAATTAAGTAGCTGCAGTCTGAGAGCTGAACTATTTTCTGACACTGCCTGTGTAGCAGAGGAAGTGGCTCTGGAGGGAGTTTCCAGTCTCCTCCAAGCAGGGAGGAATCCTGGAGCACCCTGAGCAGAGCAGCTCAGCCTGGGAGCTCTCCTGAAGTGGAACCTGCTGCTGCAGGACCAGGCTGGGCTGTCACCTGGCCTCAGAGACATCCAAGAGTCCAGCTTAAGGAGCAGTCACCATGGAGATTGTGCAGGGTAAAAGAGGAAGAGGGAACAGTGTGGCTGCATGGTTACATTCCAGAAAAGTACAAGAGCATACCCCAGCCCAGCTGGCTTCCTGATGGCCGGATGGAGTGTCTGCCAGAGGTGATTGCTTAAGTGCACTCTGAATAGAAATCATTCAATAAATGGGACTGGCCTGCTCACTGTACACAGATTTCACCAAGGGACTATCAGGTTTTTCTTACAGTTTTCTGTGCTGGTTTGTCACAGTAGTCTGAGTGCAGACAGTGGTGCTCCAGCACCCAAGAGTAACAACTTTTTTGTGGGTGCCCCCAAAAGTGAATCTGAATGAGAACAGTAATTTTAATGACAGTGTGAACTGGCAACAATAAATGTAAACATGACCATGAATAATAGCTGCAAACAATGCCTAATTTAGTATTTAGGTCATCGTGTTTCAGAAAAACAGAAAAATAGCACTGGAACTCTCTCTAGAAGGCACAGAAATGAAAATAAGTCTTTTATACTAGTAAGAGTGGAATGGATTTCAATTTTGATGTGAAAACTCAGAGAAATTAAGAGCACTTCCTTGATTTGGGAAAACTGGTTTTGGTACCTTCCAGCCTGCTAATATCTGCTTTCTTTAAAAATTCAGCACCAAAGAAATCCTTTCCTGTTAATTACATCAGGCAACAATCTGTAGTAGAATAGGGCAATGGCTGTTCTGGAAAGAAAAGAGATTCTGTTGGCACATTTTACTAGCTAAGGTTCTGATGGCAGCCACTAGGAAAAGTAGTTCTTCAGCAGTTTCTTTCTCTTAAAACTTGTTCATACAAAACAAAAATGTTGGAAAGTAGCAGTTGAAGTGGTTAAGTTGACCTTTTGAAGTAGGTGCATGTCTGGGAATTCAGCAAACAATGTAACTCTGGTTCTGGTCCCCTGTGATCCTTACAGCACCAATGGAAAAGCCAGTCCTTAACTGACAGGGAGCAGAGCTGAAGCCAGAGGGAAGTTTGGGCACACCTGGGACCAGAACACAAAACTCAGGATTGTCAGCACAAGTAGATTTTTCTAACTGTATTGAGGTTCTTTGCTGCTTTAGTATTCTGTGCTTGCACCCACTTTATGGATTACAGTGCAGGAGATAACAGGACCTTTTTGGTGTGTTTCACAGGGTTTCTGGAGGAGAACTTTTTGACTTCCTGGCACAGAAGGAGTCTTTGAGTGAAGAGGAAGCAACCAGGTTTATTAAGCAGATTTTGGATGGTGTGAATTACCTTCACTCTAAGAAAATTGCTCACTTTGATCTAAAGGTAAAGATGTTGATTTAGGCTTTGGCTAATCTGTAGCTTCTAATTTTGATATTTAAAACTGGTAATGTCAGGTAGTCAATCAAGATAGAAATCAGAAAGCATAAGTAAAGAATCATTTAACTGATAGTGGCTGTCAAATGACCTAGTATATATTCAATTAATAACTCTCCTGAGTTTTGAAGGGCTGGGTGTGGAGTTTAGCAAGTGTTAAATTAGACATGTATTTTTAAGCAGTGATCTGATTAGACAGAGGATGGTTGATCATTATCTCATCACTTGACAGGGCTCCATTGGCTGCAGTGGAGCTACAATGGTTTACACCACCTAAGAAATAAAACAGTCTTCCAAGAGGTAGTGACAATGACTTTTTGCCATTTCAATCTGTTCTGTTTGTTCTAAAGAAGCTTACATTGTGTCTGTGGTGAACACATATGCCCTAGATCCACGGAAGAAAATCAGGCTTGTTACCCTGAGGCTAAAACATGCTTGGTCCAATGACTGGGAGAATAAATTATTCATGTGCTCTGTTTCCCAGGGCAGCTCTGACTGAGAGTGTGTGTTAGCAGGAGCAACTTCCACATCACATTCTGCTGTGGAAAGGCCAGGCAGCTGCCAGCAGGGAATCAGACTCTCTCACTGCTGCCTTTGAACCTATGATTAAGTGACAGACTAATGCATTGAAGCTCATGGTGGGAGATAAACAGCACCCATAGTTCACTCTGAAACCTGTGAATGGTAGGGAGTAGCTAAGGCTGAGAAATTTAGTTGAAGAAGGAACTTTACAAAACATGTTGTATATGGTAGAAAAGTCCGTGGTTAAACATGTTAGTTTTGATTTCACAGTTGAAGCTTCAGCTTTTTCTTACAATGCTGTGAGGAATGCCACGTGTTCTTTTAATAGAACTTATTATCACATATGGTCTAGGACCTCTAATCCCAACTCTTCCCATTTTCTGGACTATTCAGCTGGTAAATCCTGACTCTTTCCTGGCATTGTTACAGTTGTGAATTTAGTCTCATAGAGAAGTTAATTCTTCCTTCCCTGAATAGGTTCAGCATTAAACAAAACACCTTCCATGGCTTACAACACAGTGTAGAGTCAACTGGGCAAATATTGTGAAGTGTAAATTCCAAGAACAGATGAGTAAAATTGCTGTCAGCAAATATATTGTTCTGTGCAGCTATCATACAGGGCTGGGCAGTAGCATTCTGTCTGCCAACACCTGAACTGCTTCAGCTGCCTGCTGCCTCTGTCAAAACAACTGTAAATGGTTAAGCACAGGTCTATGTTTCCTGTTCTATGGTGATGTATAAGCAAAGGAAAAAAAAAAGCACTTGAAAACTCTGTTACTGTCCAAGGTATTAACATTTTAATAACATAGATCTATCTGTTGTTAATTTTAGCCTGAAAACATTATGCTTCTTGATAAGAATATCCCTATTCCACACATCAAACTCATTGACTTTGGCCTGGCTCACAAAATAGAAGATGGAGTAGAATTTAAAAATATATTTGGAACTCCAGAATTTGTAGGTGAGTGACACGTTCCTTTGTGTTTTATTGCAAATTCCAGAGGACATCAAGACATCTTGTCAAAGTTAAAAACTGAGGGATAGAAGTATTTTTAATCTTATTTTGGTCAAGGCCACTTAAATCTAGAGGTTTACATTATTTTTCTGGAATAGGCAATGGTACATTCTGTAAGCTAGATGTGCTACTCCTGTGAGAATAAGCTGCTGCCAAATATATATTTAGAGATGTAAATTCAGGATTGAGATTGTAAAACCCTGCACATACAAATTATAATCTTTTTATTTGTTGCCTGGGGTGGGAAGATCTCTGCATTGTGGTACAAGAATACACCATTACATGGCTATCTCTGCCATTGCTTTGTAAATAAAACTACCTCACACTGTACACTTGCTGGGTATCCTCATCTCCCCTTACGTTTTTCCATGTGGTTCTCTTTTTCTTCCTCACTGATCATAATTCTGATCTGTCTAGCTTGGATTTGAGGTTAATCCCACTCCTTTCTACTAGTTTCTATTTTGGTGTTTGTTTGGGGGCTGGGTAGAGAATTGTAATTAATATTCCAGTAAAAACAGCTGTCACAGATCTTTTTTTTTCAACTTATTTCACCCTTGCTCTTTCCTCTTGCATGCAGTCTTATATGGGGATGTTTTCCAATGAGGAAATGTTTCTTATAAAGATAATAGAGTTTGACATGGATAGCAATGTAGTCTAGCAAGTTATTTCAATCTCTTGCTCAAGGGCTCTTTCTGACTGGCATTTACAAACTTGCTTTAATGGCACCAGTTAAAAAACAAAACAAAAGCTCATGCTTGGGGGCAGCAGCATTCTTGGGAGGTGAAATAATTTGTTATTTGTTGTAATTTCCAGTATAATTACTATATAATGTCTGTTTTACCCTTATTCTTGAGCTGCATTATGCTCCCAGTTACCCTTCATAATCTCTTCTGAAAGGCTGTGAACTCAAACTCCTATTTGGGCTGTAAAATTATAAACAATGCATTCTGTAACTATTCTGTAACTAACTTCTCCCTCTCCCCCTTTCTCGCTCTTGGTAATTCTTGGCCTGTTACTCCAGCCTGGTAAAAATGTGTTACCTCAGTTGCTGCTGTTTGATTAAATGTTTCTTACAGCTCCAGAAATCGTAAACTATGAACCACTTGGACTAGCTGCAGACATGTGGTAAGTTTTATAATGTGTTGGTAATTCTTTTCCCCAGGTACTTTACAATTACTTCTTCCTATTTTGCTCTTAATAGAATTCATTACATTGCAACAAATTAAAAACAAAACAAACTTAAATACGGTTAATGAGTCTTTATTCTGTCATTCTATTTTTATACATTCTTTTAAATTAAAAGATAAACATTTAATTTCTGCAAAGTTACACTGAAAAACTGGAGTGCTGGCAGTCCCAGAGTTAACTGTTTGCCACTGTCCATGCAGAGGAGCACTGTGAGAAGGAAACATGTTCCTGCAGAGCTTGTGACAGCTTTATTTATCAGAGTCCTTCATGCAGGGGAGACCTGCACACTAATGTCAGCTGCTGGGAAGGCAGGCAGAAGAGGTCACCCCAAATCAAACATCCTGCTCCTCTGTGTTTCATGTGTGCACTGTAGTAAGTACCCACTGAGTAGGAATACAGAGACTTCAAATATCCACATTACTTGATGCTATCTGTAAAATCATTTTTCCCCAAAATCCCGTTCTGTACAAGATGTTAGCAGTTACCTAAAGCCACAATGGGCTCTCCTGCCTCTATTGCAGTTACTACTGGCTTTTGTGTATTCTGCACATTAGGAAGAATACTGATCATGTAGAACCCCTGCAATTAATGTCTTTTGTTTTTTAGGAGCATAGGAGTCATCACCTACATACTGTGAGTACAAGAGATTCCCTCCTGTGGAAATGTTCCCAAAGCTCTGTAGCACCAGTACAGAAGAGTTCTTCCCTTCAGTCATTTAGGGACCTGCACAAGTGGGGTGGGCAGGGGTTTGTCTAAAGGACAGGGGCTATCCTGCAGCCTTTTCCATTTAAAATAAGGAGTAAAAGATGAGGGGCGTTCTGAGCAGAAGAAAAACAAATGTCCCTGGCATCACTGGGCATTTCTGCATTTTATGGGATCTCATCAGTTCCAAATGGAAGAGGATGGAAAAGCCAAGAGGATTAATTGCTCCTGGAATGACTGTGAGCTACCAGTGTGAGCATAGAAACAGAAAGTTTAGCAGTCCTATTTACAAGTTGGGTTATTTCAGGTGGAAACAGGGAAGCTTTTATTTGCTTGTAAAGGCAGCAGTCTAGATTATTATGCATAAGTAAGGTCACCCATTTCCAAAAGGTGAATTTAAGCTGAAAGAGGAGCAGAGAAGTCGACCCTGGCAACTGAGTATTCAACTTATAGGAGAAAAAAAGGAATTTGTTAAAGCTAGTAAGGCAAAGGTTGGTTGGGAAAATCATTATAGTCAGGAAGCATAAAGGGAAAATACATCACAGAACACTTAGATACAGATTCTCTTTAGAAAAATGTGTGTCAACTGGTGATGAATAAATAAAAGGAGGGAATTATGCTCAGGCTCTCAAAGAAATGAGTTTCTGTGGGCATCTGGGGACAAGCAGTTGAGAGTTTTAAGATGGAGCTTGGCAATTTGGGAAACTGCTTGTGCAGCAATGGATGCAAGCAACAGAGGAACAGCACTCCTTGCTTTTCCTCTCATTTGTCATGAGAATTGCAGGAGTTGACAGTGATCCTTGATCCTAACTGCTTCCACTGAAATTCTGTGACTCCTGGGGAGCAGGCAGTGGGCACTGCTTGCTGGGAATGTTGCACCCTCAGCTTTGGCTGTTCCTTGTGATGCTCAGAGGAATAACTTGCTGCCAGACTTGAAGGAGGTGGACTTTTGCATTGGATGGATTTGCACTGTGCAGCTCAGGGGTTGAAGGGGAGGGATTGTCTTTTCATGTGGAAAAGAAATCTTGGCCTAACAAGGGTTAGAGCCCAAAAGCTGTAAAACAGGTAGGGTCTGAGGAATCAGATTGAGTGCAACAAATTCCCTTCTTTTCTGCAGTGCAAAGAAAAGTTTGGGGTATTGGTTGAGCCAACCTCAAGTAAAGGGATTTAAGATACTGTCCAGAGCCTGTTTTTTATCAGCGCTCTGGTCTGCACTTTCATACCTGTATTTGCCAGGACATTAAACTTTGTGAATTTGTAAAATGGGTGTTCTTGTTTGATGAGAGGAACATTTAGGAGCTGAGGTTAAGCTCAACTGATTAGTTGAGGTTGGTTAGTGATGCACAGAGCCAGCTGCTCCTCAGGTCTTCCTGTTCCACTGAGGAGTCTGTACTGGGGCAGAGCAAGGGAGCAGATCCTGTACAGCACCCAGCACAGGAGATTGTTTTACCTGCTTGGCTACTAATGATTGCTGTGCTCATTAAGGTAGAAAAGATGTCTCGCTGCAAATGATCAAAAGAAAAGAGCACACTTTTTATGGTGGGAGGGATCAGCTTGTACGATAGGATATGGAGTAGAAATTTGCATGCCTTCAACCCATATTGCCTCCTAATTGTAGAGTCTTTTGCTCAGAAGTGTCCTGAATAAGTAGAGTGTGTCTATGGTACCACCTACTTCAGCAAACGTGGCAGCAATCAGATGGATGCTGTCATCGAGTGTAGAGATCAAAATGCATCCAAGTCCTCAGTTCAGTAACTCTGGAGTGATTCAGTGGGCTGTAAGGGCAAAGCCTTTATTACTGAGGTCTGCTGGTACATGTGTACAGGCACTGAGTCAGAATATGACAAAAGCCATTTGCATTGGATATTAGGATTTCAGAATGCTCCCATTTCACAGGTTTCAAAACTGAGTCCCAAAGAGAAAAGAAGAAAAAATCAGAGAATAGACCACTGTTGATTTTGGCTTCCAACAAAGGGCCAAAATGTGGAATTACAGCAACTTCATGGAATAATTTGGGGAAAGGGAAAAGAAACCAAAGCCCTAGGGCAGGTTTCCAAGCTTCAGTTTTGGAGCAAAGCCCATGGTCTGTGGAGAGGTGCCTGCTTGTAGCCAGCAGAAATGGAACCAAGGCTTAAGAAGAAGTATGTAAAACCTCTAAAGAATTGAGACTCACTGTGGTTTATGGGATGAAATTTACTGCATTAAAGACAACTGGAGGACCTCACTCATGCTCTCTTGCTGTGACAGATGCTTTGGTGGTGTTGTATGATTGTAGAAGGGGGAGGAAGCAGTTCATGCACTTGAGTGTTTATTCTGTGTGTAAAACCACGTGTGGTGGCTGGGGATTGGGCTGAGATTCTCAGGCAGTCCCATCTAACTTTCTGCTAATTCCCCAATATTCCCAGCCAACCTGACGGTGCCAATACAGACAAGGTAAAAAGCCTATTGAGAGTGGGATCATGTAAGCAAATGGTTTAGTATTCAAAACCTCAGTTTAGTTCCCTGGAGTTTGCTGCAGTCGTGTTTTGAGCCTGCTGCACCCTGAAACTATGTTATCGAAGCTGGACATAATAGATAAGCACAATAATAGCCCATAAGATTATAAAAAAAAGAGTGAGATCAATTTCCTTGGTATAAATAACATTTCCTGTAAACCAGACTTTTGCAAGTCAGCATCCCTTTGTGCTGGGGGAGGAGGAGCCTGGAGGAAAGGCAGGGCAGGAGGGGTCTGGGATGACTCTGTTCTGACACGAGTTTTATGGAGCAGAGGTGCAGAGTCATCAAAGATGAAGGTCACAGTCACAGCTGAGAGACAGGCAAAGCAGGAGGAAAGCTTTTTCTTAAGTCTAGATTGCTAAATGGCATTTTATTATGACGCTGTCTCCATTATATCCTTGCAGTTGGAGCAGGGTGCCAAGAGAATTAAATTCTGTGTTGTTTGGAAACGGTTGGATTTTATTTCAGCCAAAGCGCTTTTGTTTGTGGATTCCTTTTACTGAGCAGCATGGGCAGCATGGCCCTGCCTGTCCAGTGGAGCTGGCTCCTGGGCAAGGCCACGTGCCTGCCTTCTGGTCATACACTGCATTTTGCTTCCAGCTGAGAAAGGGCTCTTGGTTGAATGCACTGTGCAGGGAACTCAGCAGCAGCTTTGCAGAGAGAAAATAAGTAGGGGCAGAGCTTTTCCTTCCTGAAGGAAAGCCAGAGAAACACTTATGTTATCTGCTTGAAGGTTATAGAGGCTTCAGCCTGGTAGTCTTTGTGGGTTCCCAGGGATAGAGACTCTCCTCAGCTGAAACTTTTTCTAGTTTGATTAGCAATGACTTAAATGAGACACTCGGGAGAGAAGAATCTGTGCATTCCTCTCTGTTTGCATGCATTAGTGCTGCACTAGAGACTCCCAGTGCAAGTCTGGCTCATAACCACAGCTGCAGTGAGCCAAAGCTGACCCTGTTTTTTCTTACATGTCAGAGCTGCTTCAACACAAGAGTCACAAATGTCCTAAGAGTATATTCCACTGTCACTGTAATTTCCTTAGGGGACTTCTGCTGTTTGTTTTTCCAACTGATTCCTCTCTCTGGCTTATCTAGGCTTAGTGGTGCATCACCTTTCCTTGGAGAAACTAAACAAGAAACACTTGCCAACATCACAGCTGTGAATTATGATTTTGATGAAGAATTTTTCAGCAATACTAGTGACCTAGCAAAAGACTTCATTCAGAAACTACTGGTGAAAGATACCCGGTAAGCAAATATTCAGAAAGACCCATTTGTCTCTAAAATAAACCTGGTGAAATGTGGCTTGACAAGTGAAAAAGCTTTTCCTGCTGTGTGTATTGCCAGTCAAGAGCAAGACAGGAGGATGCTGCTGTGCCCCCAGTTAATACTGCACCCAGAAAGCCTGAGGAGAGGAACCAAATCTCCTCAGCTATTCAGTCCATGTTCAGGACTGAATTCTCACCTGAGTCAAGTGGCACAATTGGGTGTGGCTGAAGGGCTGAAAATGGTGTGCACAATCTCGAGTTCAGGGTAACAACCACTCCACTATTTCATTCTCTTATGAACTACTTTCAAGGAGGTGATACCATCCCAGAATATGCCCCCAGTGGTGCAATGCCAGAAAAATCACTGCATGTGCTGCTATAGAGTTGCTCTGAGTCTCTGTCTGTGGCAGTCACTCGGGTTTGTGTGACAGCTATGCAGATCTTTGTTCCCAGGTTACAGGAACCACAGTCTTTTTTTTTTTTTTTCTTTTTCCTTGCTTTTATTAAAGCACTCACAGAAGTAGCATCTCCTTCTTTGTCCTGGAGGAAAGTCAGACCATTGTGGTTCTTTCTAATGGCTTCATTAGGGGACAAAATAGCTATGAGAGAGAAGGAGCTGTTCAGTGAAGATTTCTGCAAATCATCAGGCGTCAGTGTGGGCTAGAGGTGGTGTTTGATGAGAGTTTTGCACAGGTCTGGCAGCTCCAAGGAGAAGTCAGTGCTGTTGGTATTTGTCCCATGTGCAGACACAGTGGCTGTGCTGTGCTGTGTTTCTGTCTTTGATTCTCAGTGCTCTTGATGTGCTGTTCACCAAACTACTACAATGCAGAGGGAACTTGGGTTTGATCCACTTTGATTAGGTTTGCAATATTCTTCTCAGAAATGTTGCTGTCAGGAAACAGCAGCTCCTGCAGTGCTGTAATACCATGTTCCAAAGGACAGCTTTGGTATAATTAGTGTTGATTACCTCTGGTATAATTGCTGTTGATTCAGACACAATTGTATCAAAGGTGTATAAGTAGAATTTGTTTTCTAAGCATGTTGGATGGACAAAGCAAAGGAATGTTTTATTACTTTTTATGGAAGGGTGCACAAAAGTACAGGTAGATTTTGATGAAATAAGAATTAAAGTTGTGTGGAGTAAGGACAATTACCTACTGAAGTTGAGAACATTAACTAAACTGTGCACAAGCGGTGTGCCTCAGGGAGAAAACATAACCTTGAAATTTGAGGGTTTGTCCTGGAATTATTCTTCTAAATCCTTCATAGGAAGCCTGGGAAGAGTGTGGGTCAATGGACTTGTGTACCAAGTATTTTTCATTCAAGCCTTTGGGGTTTTTTTTGTGTTGCTGTTTTTTAGGAAGCGGCTTACGATTCAGGAAGCTCTGTCTCACCCTTGGATAACGGTAAGACTGAATAAAGAAAAAGATCTTTGTTTTTTCCATGAGCAAAGCAGAGATCATGTTCTCATTCTTACTGGTGTGTTAAATGGAAAACTGCCCCCTAAGTACTTTGTGATGCTGGGTGACTCAAAGAGGTGTACTGGGAGGAAATTGGTTGTGTCTGACCAAATCCTTGAATTTCTTCAAATTACTTCCTTTATTATCATAACTTTCAAAAAAGAGAGTAACAAAGCTCTGATGTTTATTGCACATTGCAGTATCCCATATTGGACTGGGCTTTGCATTTTTCCATTATTCTCTGTCTGCATGGGCATATACTGTGTGTTGGCTTTAGTGCTTTCTTGAATTGAGAGTTGACTGCAATCAATATGGAAAATATAATTTCTCTGAAGAGAAAACTGCTGCATCCTGTGTTCTGGCCTGCATTTGGTCTACATTCGTGTGTCTGTATGTATTTTTTCATCATAAACATTGCTTGCTTACGTGGATAAGTCTCTTACTGAAAATACATTTAGCTAGTCTCAGCATGACTAATGAGGATTTTTGAAATTCAGTTTTTGCTTTGCATTGCACAAAACATTAATTGGAGTGGTTTTACGGTTGTTGGTTTTCCTCGTACATCTATTGATAGCTTTGACACTGTTAATTGCTAAAAATTAGCATGAGAATAAGTTGCAGCCATGGTGGTTTTGATATCACATATCACGTTGGAATGAATGCACATCACTTGTCACATTCAGTTCTGGGCTTGTGTGTTTGGCGTTTGTTTCTTTTGATCAAATGCATGAAGGAAAATCTTTGTGGGCAAAGGATGTCCCAGCATTGTGGAAGCCCAGAGCGCATCCTTTGGGTAGAGCTGTTGAATTGCTGCAGTCCTGTAAGCGTTCAGTAACGTTGGTTCCTCTGTCTGACGGCTCACCAGCTGAAAGATGAAACCAAAGTGCAGGAACACAAGAAGGTGGAGAGCACACAGCTGAAGACCAAGCGCCTGAGGGAGTACACCATCAAGTGCCACTCCAGCATGCCCCCCAACAACACCTACATCAACTTTGAGCGCTTTGCCCGCGTCGTGGAGGACATTTCCCGTGTGGAGCGGGGCTTCGGCGCCTTGGCTGCATCCCACGACTCCCTGCAGGAGGACATGGACGCTCTGCTCTCCATTTATAACGAGAAGGAAGCTTGGTATAAAGAGGAGAGTGAGAGTGTGAGGCACGAGCTGTCCCAGCTGAAGTACGAGTTCCGTAAGGTGGAGTCCCTGAAGAGGCATCTGCACGCCGAGATGGCGGCCGTGGGCACCAGCCTGGCAGGCGTGCGCAGCAAATATGCTGAGCTGCAGGGCCAGTACGAGTCCCTCAGGCAGGAGCTTTCTGGGGAGCTCACCTGGATACAGGACTTCATGAGCACCCTTCAACTGGAAAATGAGGCCTGTGCCAATGGAAACTTTGACTCTGTTTTCAACAAAGATATTAATGAATCACTAACAGAGCTGTTAAATAGATCGTGCTGTGAAGAATTCCTTGCAGGGTTGAATCTTGATGTGACAGAATCCCATCAGAAATACTGAGATCAGGATAAGTGCAGGGTTTGTTGTTTGTTTCAATGCACATCAGTTTAAAAAGGTTCCAGTGCATAGATTCTACACAAAAACATGACCTAGAATTAAAGTAGAAGTTCTGATGTATTGCACAAGCTGCTGACCAAAGCCATAATTTCTGCCACAGCCTTTGGTATTGCCTATGTTTTACTCTGCATTGGGTACTACAGTTCCTAATGATTACTAGGTAATTAATGTGGAATAAAGAATAAGTCAGTCTGTACTTACTAGAAACTGGATACCTGGGAACTAATAAAAATCCCCTTATGTCATCTTTGGTTGGCTGAAGGAAACAGTTGGGTCACCCTGCTGCAGGTAGTTGTATAAACCTTATGAGACAAATATTTGCAAAGGTTAAATCTGTCCTGTGAAATAAAGCAAACAGCGTAGTGATTTAACATTTAACTAGAACTGTGGAAATTCTCTGTGAAATGGCTGCCAATGAAGAATGTTAGGATTAGTGTTCAGGCCAGCTGTGCAAGGTGAACTCTTTTACCATAAAAGGCAAGGTGAATTTTAAACTAAAGGATTAATTGACAGCTGAGCTTCCTGTCCTGTATCAAAGATATCCTATTCAAAAGACACCATTGGGAACTTGTAATGATCAAATGACCCTGTAATTTTGCAGTGCAAATATCAATTTGTGACTAAGTGGTAACATAGTCCTCTGTTTTATTTTCTACTGTGAAGAAGATTACAAAGCTACAACTATCTTAATCTGTGGTGTGGCACTTGAGACTAGTGTTCTTGCTATAAGGATTTTTTTTCTTAGGTTTTAAAAAGTAAAAGTTGATCCAACCTTGAATCATGCCCTGCTGTCTTGTATTTCAAAGAAGTCGTTTGGTTATACTGTATTAATATGCACAAATGTACCAGTCTTGCTTTTGAACACAATAAATAGTTATTTATGCAGGATGCAGTTGTTCCCTGATGGTTAGTGACTGAAAAAGAGCCAAGTTTCAGTGGGCATTTGCTGCAAGGTGATTTTTGTGCAACTACAAGAGCCAGTGAGATAATAGCTCAAGTCCAGCTAGAGTGAATCTATACATATATAATTATATATGAGATATCTTTCACTGCTCCTCCTCCCTCCTCCTTTTGCAGAGAAATTAATGACCTAAATAAACTGAATTGTTGTGGTTTCTAACATGATTAAGAACAATGTTTTCTACTTTGAGATAAAAAGATAAAAGCATGCTCTCATCTAATTTGTGCAGAGCACAGTGAACCCATTACTGCCATGTGCTCACAAAGATGTGCAGAGGTTGATGCAAATTCAGAGCTGTGAAAACAGTTATTCTCTTGGGATATTGTTGCTCCTGTCATTGTGTGTGAAGGAGGATGGAAACTGGATGTGCTTTCTGTGGCATTGTTCTTGGCATAGTATGTGAAATTTTCAAAAGCTTCCAAGTAATGTAGATGCCAGGATGTGACCCTGGCAAGCTGGCATTGATGGCTGGGGAAAATTGAGCTCTCTTGTGACAAATAGTATTGAGAATTTTGCGTGTGTCCATCTTTTATTGTTTCAGAATGCTTCTGCAGGTTCCTTTGAGCTGGAAGACCCATTTAAAACTGCCTTGGGGAACTGGAACACAGGATTTTATGATTTTATTGTCAGGGGGAGAGAGCTTTAATTCCTAAAATGTAACTTAAAGCCTAGTAAGAGTTAGAATTTGCAGCAAACACTCTCAAGAAAGCGAGTCTGCCTCCCCTCAGCCATGATCCCTTATTCTTTGTTCATATCGATCTTGTTTATGAACAAATGCACTGGCACCATGGAAAGGAGCATTAAATGAGGCCATCTTGCTCCTGAGCATGTTTGTTTGAAGGTAATGTTGTGACTCAGTCCTTGAGGCTCATCACACACTGGTTTTGGGAAGAGATCCTGATGATTGAGAGAAGGACAAGGTCACTGGGTTGCAGGGTACTTCAAATGGAGAAGTAGTTATTAGCAGTCTGCAGTAAAGGGAGTTATTTACAGTCAGAGATGGTTCTGCTGCTGAAAGGGCACTGGGAAATTTTTTATAATGATTGTACAGCTGACATTTAGCCAGTGACATTTTTTCCACTTCAAATTGATTTCTTCTTGCCTGTTGCACCATGCTGGCTGTTTGCAGCATGCGGAAATTATATTTCATGCTGAACTGTCCCAGTTCTGTTGAATGCAAATGGTGTGTACATCTAAATGAGAAGGGGGCCCAGCTGATAGCCTGGGCCCTTGAAGTGCTGCTAAGATACCTACAGAAATGCTAAATCCAGCATTTGATGAGAAAAGTGAATTTGTTGTCTCAAAGATTTTAAATTATTTTGTTGAAAAAGATGTTTAAATCCTCACTGATGTGTTTTCCATTCTCCTTTGATACTCTTGCTGTTTCAGGTACATGGCTTGGTTGCATTCCAGTCCAGTTCAGTACAAATATTTGTGTTATCTACCTCCTACGACATATGCAGATCAGAACATCTGGAATGGTTGTCACTCCATACTCTTTGAAGGGTTGATTCCTGACCTTTCTCTTTTCACTCTTGCCCGATCTGGTTTTGAACCATTTTTTCTCTCAATCTGTTAGATTTGGTTTTATGGTTTATGCAAATTTTGATTTGCTTTTGGAATTGAAATGTGCTTCATTTTCAGGACTATGCTGGGATTTGTGAAACATTTGTTCCCTAACACCAGGTTGACATCCAAAATGCCAGACACATGTCTGAATTCTGATCTATATTCTTTTTTGTTCCTATTTTTCCATAGTTATATATTGCAATTATTTTATTGCCCGGGTGTCAATGCCTTGTGCTCTCATACTCTGGCTATGGTTACAGGACGAAGCTGGAGTTTTTTCAGATACCATGTAACCAAGACACTAATCCCATTTTATTACAGTGATGTAATCCAGAGAAAAGGGAGATGGGGCAGGTGTGCACCAGAAGCACCTTAGCAACTTTACAAAGTGAAAGCATAGCCTTAGCACCTGCTAGTTTTAGGATTTTATTTGTGATCAAAAAGGTCCTGTCTAGTTCCAGAGTGCGCTAGATTTAATTCTTTTTCTTCTGCTTTTACCTGTATGAATCTGCAGCTTCCACAGCTTTCTTTCAGCCAGCTGCAGCATACATGAGGTATCTTGCATATTTTATGTACCAAAGGGGAGGTGAACAATAAAATTGCTCTTTTATATTCCAGCCCATGGACAAGCAACAGGCTTTGGTTCGGAAATCATCTGTTGTTAACATGGAAAACTTCAAAAGGCAATATGCTAGAAGGCGATGGAAGGTATGATGAGCCTTTAATCCTCCTCACATGTGGCTTCCCAAGCCTGATGGGATCAGAGGGCACGCTAGAGCTTGAATGTGGGATTGTAATGGGCAGTGAATGAATGAAATGTGTTTGGGTATGTCAGCACGGGGTATGTGTGGTCAATTGGCTTTGCTCCTCTCTGCACAGCTGTCGTACCGGATTGTGTCACTGTGCAACCACTTATCGCGGTCCCTGGTGAGGAAGGTCCTGACACAGGATGAGAGCTCGGTACGTACATTCCTCCCACGGCAAGAAGAGAAGAACCAGTCTCACTGTGCAGTCATTTCTGCTGTCCTTGCACAGAGGCACAGCTAACAGGACAGCAGTGGCTCAGAGTGGGAAACCAGATGGGACCATGGCACCATTTGTGTCTTTCCTGCTGCTGTATGTTCTGTTACTGTGGCAGGAATCTTGTGCAGGGAGAGCCAGTGACTTGACAGACCTTCTAGGGGCTAAGCACATTGATTGTGTAAAGGAGCAGCCAGGAGCCTGCAGACAAAGTCTGGATCCCAGGGAGTGACCCTGGGGTGTGAGAGGGATCCAAGCTCGCTGCTCCTGTGCCCAGCTCTGTGATGGAGGGTGGGGGACCCTGGCAGTGCCTGTCACCTTCTGGAGTGAAACTGTGAGGGCTCTGTTAGCTCTGCTCTTCTCAACAGGTACTGGTAATATTTGAACAGCATGGGCAACAGCATGGTATCTCATTTACATGACAGAGACTTTGTGGCCTTTCTATTTCAGAGAAACTGTGAAAGTGACAGTGAGGATCTTTCACAAAGAAAAGCCCCTCTTCAGAGGAGAAGCAGCATATCATAATGGGATGAGAATTCCATGGGCAGGAGACAGGAAACTTTCATCCTTGCTGAAGCAAGCAGCCCGGCAGCACACTTGGACTTCTTGTCTGAGTCTTTGGTATGATGCTTCTTGCTTCTCAAACTACACCAACAACTGGAAGATGGTCTTCAATGCTTACTGAGCATTCCCAGGGAAATGCTACAGCACCAGTTGGAGTGCTTTTATATGTTGAGTGTTTCAGTGATACTTCAGTCTATTTCTGATGTCAACTGCACTCAGGGTGTAGGGTTTCTACTGATAATCTTTTACTGCAGAATAATTCACATTCCCAGTGGTAAAGACTGTATGCATTATTATTTCAGTCAGGGAAATTGCTAGTGAGTCTTAAGGATTTTTTAAATGCAATTTTTATATTTCTTAATAGCATAAATATTTGATGACAGGTATCTGGCAGGTTTTGTTAGCTGTGTGCAGTACTCTGTTATTGCTGTCTCTGAAGAGAAAAATCACAATGCCATTACATATCATTACCTTGATTTTGTGAACCTGGCAGTAAAAATTCTGAAATGCAACAAGAACTGTGCTCTGGCCATTGTCTCTGGCTGAGGATTAGCACAACTCCCATTATCAGTATGAATACAACTGACAGTGGCACTGAGGTAAGCCAAGGCAATTTTTGGATGAAAAAGAGATAAAAATTCTATAGTGATTGACATGCACCCAAATACAACATTTTCACGGAATGATGACAGGATGCCTCACCAAAAAAAGGTATTTATAAACCTAAGGCATGTGAAGAAATAGTGTTTATTAGATTTTGTTATTGTTGTCAATATTATTTATTGTCAGCAAATTGGAGACTTGTTAACACCTATTTGTATAGGTGCTGTTTACATGTAACCCAGACTGCAGACATCTGTATTTTATTCAGGGAGTTATATTCAAAATTGAGGAAATAAGCACTTTGATATTGATGTAACATCTTTGCACAGGGAAGTTGCATCATTTTAACTATATTAGTTTCTAAGCCAGTATTGTTCAATTGGTACCAAAAAATGTGCATAGACTAGGGTATTTTTTCATTGAATGTATTTGCTGTTAGAAGTTCCTATTTATTTTGCCATTTAATGAATTAAAAATCAGAAAGCAGGTCTTTTAGAAACAAGTATAGATGGAAGAAGAAATTGATTTTGTTTGGCTTTACAATTGTCACCTCTAGGCTGAGGTTTTAGAGCAGAAGGTGTTGAAAACTAGTATCAGCTTAATTTTGATGGCTTCCAGTTACTAAGAAAGAAATAAAAATATGCTACTTTTATTTTTAACTTTGTATCCTTGCTTAGTTAGAGACTAAAATGCAGTTGATAAGAAATTACTTCTGTGAAAGGAAGGAAATGTATGAGAAGCTTTGGAGGAGAGAAGCAGGACGTCGGATTTGATGGAAGAAACATAAAATGAAGGAGGGGGTGGGAGGAAAAAAGCAGTGGAGAGGAATGAGTATGAGAGGGACATGGAGGTGATCCTGGACTGGGAAAGTTGGAAGAAAGGAAAGAGAATGTGGATATATGAATTGTGGAAGCTGGAGAGTAAATGTTTCTGCAAATATAGTGCTGCATTTTTATACTATTATTTAATTTCTTTTTATTTCATATCTTGTACTGCCATAGCCTGTGACATGTGCTGGTCAAGGGATAAGGTGCAGGGCATGGGCTTCTCTTCATAGTCAATTAAAAGCTGTATTTCTGAACTTTCTGTGTAACTCTTGAGACCTCAGTGACCTCACAAAGTGTTGCAGTAATGTATGCATCAAGAGGGAGCAGTAACAGGGAAACCTGAGGCTTCAGTGTACCCTTATTTCAGCTGAACAGAGTTAATTTTTTCCTCAGCAGCTGGCACAGTGCTGTGTTTTAGATTCAGTATGAGAATGATGTCGTTGATAATATGCTGCTGTTTTAGTTGTTGCTAAGCAGTGGTTACTGTAAGTCAGGACTTCTCAGTTTCCCAGCCCTGCTGGTGAGGAGGTGCACAAAAAGCTGGGAGGGACCATAGCCAGGGACATCCAGGCCCAAAATGGTCAAAGGGATATTCCAGCCTGTGGGATGTCATGCTCAGTATGTAAACTGGGGTGACTCGGCTGGGAGCCACAGGTCACTGCTGGGGGGTGGGCTGGGCATTGGTGCTGAGCAATTGTGATGTGCATCACTTGTCTTCCCTGGCTTTTATCCTTCTCTTTTCCTTGCCATTATTATTAATTATTATTATAATATTTTCCTTTAGTTCAATTACAAAACTGTTCTTATCTCAAAGTAACCCTCGAGGTTTGCTTTCCAATTCTCCTCCCCACTAGGGCCAGGGGAAGGCGAGGGAGGGGCTCTGTGGGGTCTCGTTGCCAACTGGGGTTAAACCATGGCAGTGTCTGGAGGGAATCTTTCATAAACAGAACACTAAAAATATACATTTGGATAAAAATTCGCCCAGCTTACCTACCAAATTTTGCTTCCTGCTTTCCCAAGGATGTGGAAAACCAAACAGACTCCAAGCCAGTGGCATTTTTCTGAATTTCTGGACTTTAAAAACACCTTTGGTTTCCAAA